TGCCCCTGCTGTCTGAAGTGTATGTGTGGTGTCACACCCGGTAGATAACTGGACTACACGATACCCGTTGAAGAGACAGTCTTCGGAGGTCGGCTGATGGAAATGGCTCACCCTAACGATACGCATGATAGAGCGCCACCTTGACTAGGTCATGAGCATAAGCAAGCATAGCTCCTTCCGGAAGCAAGTGAGCGATTACCTTTAGATAAGACGATTCCGGCGAGGGGTACCCATTCCCTTGCGCCATCGTGGCGGGGTCTCGGCTTCCGCTTTTCAGGTAGCTGAGCAAAGGCCCGGAGCACGCAGTCTGCGATGGCATCTGCGGCGGCGTCTGCAGCCATGGCAGTGAAGCGAGGTGGTGGGTGAAGGAGCGAGGGCGCGGTTGGGGCTCGGAGCATCCGGGGAGCCAGGCACGTCAGGGTCCATTGTTACCTTCGCAGTCGCAGAGCATCGCTCCTGCTACTCAGTCACAAAGAACCCTGTCACACGCTCAGCGCGAGTGAGACCCAGACTCCTTCACCTCCCCGTATCGCCTTGTTCCTCCTCTTCTCTTCTCAACATGCAAGCGTTTGGTGAGCAATGGCCGTGCGCCGCACCGTCGCATTCGCGACTCAGACACTCACAATCACAGTACCCAAGAACCGACGAGTAAGACTGAGCCAGCACCTCAAAGTTACACGGGCTGACATTTGCGCAGCCAAAATTTGATCTACACCTACGAGTGAGCTATCCATACACAGGCCTACGACCACACTCTGACGACAGCAGATAATCGACCTCAACAACGTACCACTCGTTTCGGGCACCTCATTCATAAAATGGCACCTCTCCCACTCGACGGCCGCCGAGCACCGCGGTCGCACAGACAGCTGCCAAGTCAAAGACCATAAAGTCGCCTACAACTACGACATCACCCTCCCCGTCCGCCTCACCGTCGACAAGAATGGCATGCTGCAGGAGTGTTATGTCGAGTTGGAGGTTGTGCAAGAATACGGCCGAGGCTCAGGAAGAGGCGAGCGCATCACGTTAGGAACTGTCAAGCTCAACCTGGCCGAGTACGTGGAGCAGAGCGAGATGGCTACCATCGCGGGCGAAGAGCCAGGCGTCACGAGGAGGTACCTTATGCAAGACAGCAAGATCAACAGCACGCTCAAGGTCGGAATCTACATGAAGCAGACGGAAGGCGACAAGAACTTTGTTGCGCCAGCCTTGAAGACGGCGCAGGTCTTCAGTGGCATCGCTGGTATCATGGCGGGAGAGCAGGCCGAACTTGAGGATCATGGAGGTGGGAAACTCTGAACTATACACGGGACTCGTGCTAACGCCCACAGCTGCGCCCTCCCTGACGAGCAAATCCCGCGAAGCCGGCGAGCTCCAAGACATGTACAGACGCACCCTCGCCGCATACTGGTCCGCACAACCTGGCGAGCTCAAGGCAGACGAATGCATCGAAGACATATTCGCTGGCGGAGACGGATGGGGCGACCGCGAGAAACCATACTCCCAGCAGCCACGAGCTCAGCCCTTGCGATTCGCAGCAGGCGATAGCAGCAGCTCTGTGAGTGAGAGCGAACACGGTCACATGCGCGGCGGCAGCAGCGCTCATCGCAAGTCGCATGAGACGCTGCGCCCTGGAGATATGAAATCGAATCACTCGCCTAACGTGCGGGGCCGGGGAAGTTTGGAGCAGCAGGCATCGCAGATGAAGGCAGAGGCGGCGCGCAAGCGACATCGTCCACACCATGAGGTAGATGAGTTTGACCTGCGCGAAGATCTTTGCAGCTGGCGTCGTCCAACTTAAAGGTCAAAAGGTGCCACTGAAATGCAAATTCCTACATTTAATATTGAACTCTGAAGTAATGCTCGCGGGCGTCGCACTATGACGCGCCTCACACGTGAAAGCGCGATGGCAGAATTAGGGCGGTCACGAAAGTTGGAGCACGCATCGCACTTTCCGAGCCCGTCGCTGCCATCCTCATTGCACTTTTTCCCCGCTTCGTCCTCCTTCATGCTTGCGCCCCGGACCTCGAGTGCATTTGTATGCCTCCGATGTGAAGCGCAAATTGCCCGACGGCGACTGCCCGCTTTTCCTCGCCCACCATCCCGAGCCAGGTTTTCTGCGTCTGCACGCCGCCGCGGTGATGCTGAAGACGAGCAACAACCGCCTCTGAAGATCACAAAACAAGTGACGCCGATCAATCGCTTGAGGAAGAGGAAGGGAGAAAAGATCCTACGAGAAACTTCGCAAGATCTGGGCGTCAAGCGATTGGGCGACGATGCCGATATCTTGGTCCTGAGGGAAGTCGGGGAACCAGCACGAAGAGAAGCCACCACAACCACCGAAGCCTCCGAAGATGCCGAAGTAATCGAAATCTCCGAACCTCTCGAGGTCCCAGACATTCTTGCCTCAATCGAAGAAGAAGGGAAAGCGCTCGCGCCCGAAGAAATATACAAGCAAATCGAGACCTTGCGACCGAATAACGATGGCGACCCCAATGAGCCGCATCACATCAAGCAGACTACATTTGTCAAGCTGAGAAAGACGCTCATGAAAGGCTTCACGCAACAGCAATTGATAATCTTCTACTCGGTCGCAAAGAATATACGGCAAGAGAAGGTCAATCAGGGAGTGATCGACAGCATCAAACGGAAGGACCAACTAGGAAACCAGAAGCAACCTGTGGAGCGATCAGAATGGCAGCCAGGTACTACGCCGATAACTCAACGCCTGCCTGGCGTTGATCGCATTGTCAAGATCATGGGCTACCGCAAGAACGTCAGCAAGCAGCTGCTTGTTGATCGCATAATGAGGGATGTTTGGAATCTTGTACTCTTGGAAGAAATCGAATCCCCCGGAGAGTTGGAGCTTTCTCTGCAACCGTGGCAGGCGATGTTGCTTAAGGCTGGTGGTACGTACTAAGGCATCCTTAATCGCGGATCACGCTGACTTGGCTGTAGACAAAGACACCCTGTTTGACAAGATTCGACGGACCCGACGAGTCAGACTCGACATGTACAAACCGGATCACGCCCTCCGTATCACATCCGATAAGACGACAGCAGAGTACGCCGCCAATGATATCGAGGAAGCCTTCCAACACACTGAAATGAAGCGGATGAACCTGAACAACTATTTACACCAGCTAGCAAATGGCCCTGTTGCGTTGGATTCAAAGTCCAACCTGGTAACCCTGTTTTATACACAGAAAGACTTTGATGTCGTCTCGGCTCTAACTCGCACAAGTATTGAGGCTGTCGGCAAGTCTATGGTATGCATGAACTCTGTAAATTGTTCATAACCTAGCTGATTCTTTTAGTTGGTAATCAGAGGCTTCGATGTGAGCTCTATAGAAGAAGCAAAACGGACACTGGTCAGGTTTTTGCCTTTCAAGGATGCAGCTGAGCGTACCTTCGACACTCAGAAACTGGGAAGTGCCGAGAGTGCAGCGTTCTTGTTGCCGGTTCTTACCGAACACGATTCTTTGAAATACAAGTATCGCAAACGAGAGTTGGGACGTCTGTCAATGCCTATCATGCGGCTCACTGAGCCTGACACTGCGGAAGCTCAGGCTGCGAAACCCGCAAAAGCCCCAAAAACAACACTCCACGGTCTCGTGAACCGGACTCTAGGGACCATTCTACGACCCGCTTCTGCTGTGTCATTGCCTAAACACGAGTTGAGCAATTGGATACCGAACCCAACATACGAGGTCTCCGCCGAATTTGGCCAGGCTCTATTCCCTCTCGAAGATGTGGACCCCAGCCGAGTAGTGGAAGCTGCTCTTTCCGAACCGTCCAAGGCACCTTTTCTGTCAACATTCCCGGGACTGAATAGTGTCTTCACATCGCCCAACTATTCTGTCGTTTCGCGCTTGCAAACACCATCTTTGCACTACGAATTCAGACCTGACCTGGAGCACGAGCCAGGACAAATATTTCCCAAACTCAGGATCCAAATGCGTACTGGTCGCAGTGGTGCCAAAGCCACTTTCCGCAAACTCGCACTGAGCTTCGATCATCGTATCCACGATGTTCTGCTCCCAGACAAGGCCGTAGATGTACGATTTCAACGCCGAGCAAACCTCAGCTTCAACAACAGGGACCACAATGACGAGAATGTACAGGCATGGGTTGATGCCGTAACAGACAACATTGAGAGCGGTGGCCGCCTCACTGCGCCACCTCTCCGCATCCAGATCCCCAAGTGGACTATACCCGGATTCCCGAGTGAAGAAACGGGCATGCGTACCGTCACGTATCACTTCTCTGGTATCCAGTTCCGGCAACCGGTGATTGGAAACCTATTCGGTGTAGGTGTTTCGTACAACACTGTGCAGTCTGGCAAGCTCGGTGCCAAGGGCGGCGCGCTCACTGCGCATTACAGTGGCCATGGCGATACAGAGTTGCGCGACGAAAGTGCGATGAAAGCCTTCGTGGAGAGGTGTTTCAAGATGGCAGACTTGATCACTGATGCGAGTAAGCAGACACTTCCTCCGTCTCGCGTAGTCCGCCCTCGCGATATGAACAGTGGACGGAAGGCGAAAAGAATGGGATTATCGGGCGATCGAGCTCAGGCTGTGGATGAGCAGAGCATGGAGCCGCCGAACGATCTTGTCGAACGCGTTGGGGAATACCCGGATGTGAAGGACGATGTTGAGGCGAAAGAGAACGCGGTAGCTGTTGAGGATGTGGTGGAAGAGCAGCCAGTTGATGGAAACATGGAGTCACGATCTGACGACTTGGTTACCGAAAGCGAAGACAACGTTCGCACTTTGTAGTCACCAAATTCAACTCTTCAAAGCAACTCTCACCAAAAATCTGGCCATGTTCCTAACTTGTTAGCACTCATCTCATGGAGCGTCACGTCAAGAACATCACAGTGAGATATTCTCTTCGAGCAAATCATCAGTTCGTAAGAATTGATTAGGCCACAGTATGGCGATCCTAAGAAACCACAGATGCAACGAGTAATAATGTGTCCATGCTTCTACATGGGGTATCTACCGTGTATCTTGCATGAGTTGTAGCAGGCCTTCTGCGGCGTCGCTCTTAACACCGCCGACACTGCTAGCCAGACTGTAGTGTTGTTGCTTCATTCTTTGAAGCCTGTAGTGCGGGTTCTCTTCCTGCACGTTGATGCGCTCTGCATCGTGCTCACCCATTCGTGTTCTTGAGTCAGAGTGCGGAGGGTAGTAATTCCTGGGTCGCACAGGCGACGAGAGTTGATCGGGGGCTACTGAGTGGGGCAGTTGAGGCCCGGGTGGTGAAGACGTGAATGCATAGCCGGGCACCATGCGCGATGATGCGGGCATGTTGCCTTGGGGTATGGCGAATTGAACGGGTGCGGGACCGAGTTTGGAGATCGGGTGGAAGGGATCTAGATTGGCCCTCACGAAGACTGGCCCTTGATCGCGTCGTGGAGAAGATACGGTGATGTTGGGTACGCGGGGATCGCCTAGAGATTCGCGTGAAGTTGTCATGGCTGTTGATCTTGACGCGTTGAGCGCGTCCGACGAGTAAGAGGCGCGAGCTTCATAGGGTCCAATGATATCCGCGTCGCGTTTCGTGACTTGGTTTGTCTTGAGCTTATACAGTCCAAACTTGAGACGCGTGCGCAACTGTTCGGCACGCGATTTCCTCTTTCCTTCCACGGGTGCTGGTGCGGGGGGAGCCGCTGGCATAGCTACACGTTCTCCATGTTCGCTCTTCTGGCTGGCACACAGCTCGTAGTTGAGAAGGTCGGAGAAGGACTGGTTGCTCTTCTGGGAGGCTTGTAACGGCTCTGGTTCGGGCGAGGGTGTTGGTGTAGCGCGCTCGGTGGGAGATCCAGGATCTGCGAGGCCAATAGGGTTGTTCTCCTTCGATATGTCAGTGGTGTCAAGACGCGTCAGTATCGCGTGTGGCCTACCGTATGCTTCTGCACCGCATCAGTGGTTAGGCGCACGCCGGCGGTAGGAAGACTCTCGTTGCGGGCGTGGGCAAGCATCTTCACACTCTCAACGGCCTCAGCGCCGTCGACGTCTTCTATGCCCCTCTTCTTGCTGTTTGAGTTGGTCTGGGGAGTCATGAGGTTTTCCTTGCCGACAGGGTTGGTCGGGGTGTGCGTAGTAACCTGCTTCAGCGGGCTTTGGGCTCGAGCGACCTCAGACGGTCCATGAGGGGTGGAGGGCGTATTTATGGCCTTTGGGGTGAGATCCCCAAGCACGCGTCGCGAGGGTGTCTTGGAGGGGGTATACTGAGTGGCCATGTTTGGCCGCTGCGGTGTTGTGGCGCTCATGTTGTCTTTGCGACTTGAGGGATATTGCGACGCGTTGAGACGGGACGAATGACGCGCGTGGATGCGCTCTTGTGATGTGGAACGGAAGTGTAGCCACAAAATAGTAATGAGTCTTTCTGTGTCGTGTTCAACGTTGGGAAAGACAAATCAAAACAGAATTGGAATGAGGGTGATGGTGTGGGAGCAGTCGCGTCGCGGTTGGGGAAGTCGCAGCAGAGGCGCTAGGCGACGCGATTGGGTGGCATGTCAGGGTCCAGCTTGGCGAGAAGGCGGGATGGCGCCTGAACTAGCGCAGCACAAAGTTGGCATGACTGGGAGGTGTTCCAATTCTGTTCCTCGATCCTCTATCTACTATCGTTACACATTTGCATTGAATTACGCGTCGAACGACACCTGTTGGGGCCCTCGAAGAACGCGTGGCGCGGAGGACATTCTCTCTGCACTTTCCCCGTTGCTGTTGCTGCCAGCAGAGTCACCTTCACGAGTAAGCTACGACTAGGACACGTGGATGATGATTGATCCACATCTTCTTAGCAATGGTCCCGTCGCTTTGCAGTGAGTAGACCACCACGACTCTAGTACGGCGCGTCTCAAGCTAGAGAACCCACGCGTTCGTCAAAGTTCCGAGGCACTTGCACAGATAAGATAGCACGATAAGATGCAGCCACAGTTTCTGTGCACGAACCTACGTGCATGCCGGCCGCACTTGCTACGGGTCTCCATTCCTTGTCTTACGTCATCAAAATAGAAGCAAATGCACGGCTACGCGGCTCCATTGCTCCACCATGATGGCTCAGCCACACCTACTCACCAGCACAGCCAACCCTATATACACTCGACTTTCAATCCTCAAAATCCCTACAACAGAACTTGTTTAAGTCCAGAGACTCACCTGCACCTTGAAACTCGATCTGAGCATCTATCAACAATCTGTTCGTTACCCAACTGAGGCATCCGCTCACTAGTGTACTAACCCGATCAGCATATCCACGATGAAGGGCTTCCTTCAAAAAGCCAAAGCCGAACTCAAAGGCTTCACTCAACGCGACGAGCCTTGCAACTCAAAATTTGACGGAGCCGCTGAGGCACAACATCAACACCACTTTCCTCCAGCTCATCAGCAAGGGCAGCAACATGCAATCAGCGACCCGACAACTCTAGATATACTTCGCTACCGTTATCATCACGGCACTAACCTCGGCTCGGTCTACGTCATTGAACGTTGGCTTCAAGGCTCTCGATTTCCTGACGGTTCTGAGGGATCAAGCGAGCTTGCAGCAGTCCAGGCCTGGGTCGACAAGATTGGCATGGCTGAAACGAAACAAAAGTTCGAAGAGCATTGGGCCAACATCGTAACCGATAACGCCATCGGATGGCTTGCTAATGTAGCCAAATGCACTACCGTCCGCCTGCCCATCGGTTACTACGACCTTCCCGGGGCTGTTTTCACTCAGGGCACACCTTTCGAGCCGTACGCAGAAATATACACTGGAGCATGGAACAGTATCCGTACCCTGATCCAACGCCTGCGTGCACGCTCTATTGGTGTTCTCATCGATCTACACGCATTGCCAGGAGGTGGAAACGCGCAGGAACACTCCGGTACCAACAGTGGGCGTGCTGAACTCTGGACCAGCCATACCAACCGCGCGCTGGGCGTTCACTGCTGCCAATTCATTGCTGAGGACACAAAGGCTGGAGCTGAGATTGCCGGTCTCCAACTCGTCAACGAGGCTGAGTGGGAATCAGAACGCATGTATGAGTGGTACGATGAGTGCATAGCTGCTGTCTCTGCTATCGATCCCAGCATTCCAATCATCATCTCCGACGGTTGGCACCTAGAGAAAGCAGTCGACTGGACTTTGCAGAAGAACTCCATCTACTCGCACCCGCAGTGCCCAGTATTGATCGATACGCACTACTACTGGGCTTTCACAGACGCAGATAAAGCTAAGACACCACAGCAAATCACCGAAGAGGCCGGTACCAAGCTTGGACAGCTTGACGGTAAAGAAGGCTCCGTCCATGACCGTGGTGCAGTACAAGTCATTGTTGGCGAGTACTCCTGCGTCATGACCGAAGACTCTTGGGCTAAGGGCGGCGGAGTCCCCAAGGAAGAGCTCGTGCAACAGTTTGGTCAAGCGCAGAGTAGGCGGTACCAGCAGCGAGCCGGCGGCAGTTTCTTCTGGACCTGGAAAATGGATTGGATGCCTGGTGGTGAGTGGGGTTTCAAAGCTAAAACGGAAGACGGGAGCATTGTGCCACCTCAGTATACAACATTGTCCGCTGATGATAGGCGGGGGGTGGTCGAGAAAGCCAGACACGAAAAAGACGGGCAGATGCATGAGGCTGTCAAACAGCACGTGTCTTACTGGAGCGGAGTGGATCCCAACGGTCACTATGAGCACGAAAAGTACGAACATGGTTGGCAAGTCGGATACCAAGACGCTCTCGCCTTCTTTGGGTGCGGAGAAACAAAAGGCGACAAGATTGGCATGTTCGAATTGTGGGTCCTCAAGCGAATTAGAGAGAGTGGATACAGAGGTGGCTTCACTTGGCTTTTCGAGCAAGGCCTGAGGAAAGGTGCGCACGACTGTTACTCTGCGCTCGGAATTTAAGGGTTTGTGCACGGACGATATGACTCTCGGTCACGACCGTTTGCTGTTGCTGCCTCAGTCACGAGGTACGTGCTCGGGGTGATGACGTTACGGTCAACAGTCGGACTCGCGACCTTCGTCGGTGGAACGTCTAGAAAACCGACAGAGACAAACATTCAAGCAGTGTATGTTGGGCGTACAGTATCACTTTCTCAATGAATTTACCACCTCCCCTCTTCCATCCCCCTAACTTGATCTCGCGCAATCCCTCAATCTCTAGAACACATCAAACCCATGGATCACACCCAATTTATACCCCTTGGAACACCTGAAGAAAGGCGTGGCGAGGCGTTGCTTTCACTACATGACATACTCGCCAGGCGGCCTTATCAAGCTTACTGCGTCACAGAAGCCTCTTCACGACCGTCCAGCCCGGACGACCTTATTCCAAAACCTCTTCGAACATCAAAGACACCTGTATTGCAGGTGTTCATTGACGCAGAGTCTGATGAGACTGAAGACTGCGATCAAAACAACAATCTTACCCAGACTGCGGCAGGCAGTCCTGCGCAGTATGTCGAATCAGCAACATTACGCAGAACGGGACAGTATAGCAAAAGACAAACATTCCTTCCCAATCGAAAGCCGTTGCCAGAGCGTACAAGATCGGGAAATACACCAAATCACATTACACGGGCTGTCACTCCACGCGGAAGCCACTCGTTAGCTCCATCTGAGGTGACGGTGTGCGACCTGCCATCATCACATCCACGGATGCAACAATCGACTCCTTCCAACAACGAATCTGGTCGGACCGGCTCACACAAGCCAATTGAGCAATGCGGTGACCTTTTGGGTACGTATCAGCGTCCGCTACCACCACTACCGCTCGGGACGGCTTCAGTGACAGGCGAACAACAAGAAATCGGCGCGCGGAGCGCAGACGTTTGCCGAAGTTCGGACGAGCCGGTTCATCCAGAATACTTTGAAGGAGCAAACGAGCTCAATACCCTCGATATTCAGGCGGGACCGCTGTCCAAGAGGGAGTGCTACCTCGTTCCACGTCGGCCGTTGCCAGATTTACCGATAGACATCAGCCCAGATCATTCGAGTCAAAGAACTGCAGCGCAGAGCGCGTCCTCATCACACGTGGCAGATGGAATCTCATATGATGCCCTCTTTGAGTCGAGCATTAGTGCGCGAGAGCATCGTGTCTCGGGCAGCAATACACAAGAGCCCACTGCTACTGACCCATACGAACCTCGCGGCCACTGGGATGACATTGACGATGACATGCGAGCACTGCGGAGAACTCAACCCAAAGATGCAAATCTAAAATACCAGTTTGGACAGCTACCATCTTTCAGTTCGGCTTCACCGCCATTGATCTCGCCACTCCGCGGCAATTACCCGCACTCAGTCGGCAACTTCACAAACGCCGCGCCTTCTTTCCATTCGTCGACCGACATCCAAAATGGTCCCAGACCTCCTCCATGGGGTTCATACGAAGATCTCGAGACACAACGTCGACAGCGCGGTGACGCTAGAGAGCGCGCAAAAGTTAGAGGTAGCCGTTTGACGGCAGACAGCTCTTCAGTGTATCAGAAGTCAATGTCGACGGACAGCCTGGGTAAAGATCCTTCAAGGGAGGTAGAAGAGTACAGAGAGCAGATACTCGGTGTGTATCCGGATATGGAGTTCAATGGGGAAGCCGGGAGAGGTGATCGGGGATGGTGCTGCTGTGTGTTAATGTGATAGGTATTCGATTCACGATCGTGCTCGATGACAATAGCACCCAGTAGAGGTGCGCTGATTCCGGTCTTGAAGTGGTCGTGGGCAGAAGACTGCAGTTCATGCTGTCGAACCAGCTGCGCCATCCCTGGAATGACAGACGTCAATGACAGACGCACAGAATCACGCCGATCAATCCAACACATCGCCAAAGCTGCAAATCCGCCGACTATATATACCTCGAATCTAGTACTTTCTATTTAAACAGCGCTCATCATCATCCACCAACAATACCACACTGCACACGATTCCAAAGAACGCAGTTTCAGGTTTCTCTCAACAAGTCTAACTCATCAACTTGAAATCAAACAACACTATTCTACCCCGATCTTCCGTGGCCATACACTCCAGTCTTCACGTATCACTAGCCTCATCATACCCAATACGAGGTTTATCATCAAAAATGCCTTATAGGCTGATGAGCCACGAATGGATTAGGCAGAACAGAAACAAAGTTTTGCCAGCCGGTACTCGACGGCAAGTTGAAACAGGACTGATGAACCCGGACTACCAAAAGCTTACGAAGGATGAAAAAAAGAAGAGAGACGAGGAAAGGCTACAAAATGCAGAGAAGCAAAGGGTCGCAGCAGAGAAGTACAAGATGGAGAAGGCTACAGGGAAACCTGCTCATCTGCAGCATGGTCATACTACCAAGAAGTGAGGTTTTGAAGGTGTGACGTGTTGGTTGTTGAGCCAGTCATGGCGAGGGCGGCCAGAATTTTGTTTCGGTTATCGATGGATTCAGTGCTGGTTTGGTTTACTTGCCTGGTGCAAGTGGTTGACTTTTCACAGGCGTATCTTGCAAGGCTTTAGGTCGGTTGTGCAGGCTTGCGCAACTGTCGCTTGTCTATGCGTTCATGTTATAGTACAAATGAGATATATCCTTGAATTGAACTGTCTGAATCGTTGTAATGTAAAAGCTAGACTGTTCAATCACTCACAATAGTCAGCTCGCGTCAAACCCGAGTGGAGAGAAAGCACTAAAAGTCGTTCGTATGCTGGCGAGACGAAGTCATAGGCCAAGTTGGCTATTTTGAACTGCTACCATACGTAGTATGCAGCGCATCTGCCAATCAAGCTAGAAAAAATGGGTGATATTGTGTGCCGTCAATTGTTCGAAAGCGACAGGTGGTTGCCAAACAGTGAATGTGCGGCTCCTACATTCCAAGCCAAATATTGAAGGCAATCAAGTATCACAGTAGGGCAGCTTCAATGACAACGACATGAATGCCCAATGGGTGTTCCAGATCTGTCACGCAGCAAGGTATATATAGCTAGCAGTCCTCGCACATCGTCAAGACTCAGCATAAGAGACAGCCTCGACAACACTAACAACAATCATTACCATTCTACTTTCTAAGCCTGGCGCTTGCGACTTACAGCCTATCATATTCATCCAAATCCTGGTAACACAAACTCGATCAAGATGCATCTCCCATCACAGAAACTCCAGCTCCGCCCTAAACTTACCGCTGTTCTACAACACTCAAGCAAGAATTCCACTTCCAAGACCCCTGAAGCTTCAGCACCAACGAAGCCAGCTAGCAGTATCAACATCAAAGACAAGCGCAACATCAAGATTGGCATCGTCGCCCTCCGTACTGTCAGCAAATGGACCGATAAAGCTGCACTGACGCTCGAGAAGCTCGAGGGCCAAGAAGCGTCGAAGCACTGCCAAGATCGCCAGGCGCGCTTGTTCGCAGAAGACGGCAGTAAAGGGTACGGAAAGCAAGTCCAAGATACTGGGGTATGGAGAGAGACCGTGGTATACCCGGTACCTGCCCAGGTTGATAGTGCTAGGGGGATCGAAGCACACGAACAGCCAAGAGTGTACAGAGCACCAGCACCTGCCAGCCAAGGAGAAAGTCACATTGTGGCCAGCGCTGTCGAAGTACCTCTCATTCAGACTCATCATGCGCATGTCTTGGCTTCCGTTGAGGAGTACTATGACGAAAGTAGTGATGACGAAGACGAAGGCAATACCTCTAGGCAGATCGGTCTCAACAGCTCCACAGACGTTGACGCAGATGAAGACACCGATGAGGAAGATACTTCAGACGATTCTAGCGATGATGTGAAGGAGGATGACAGCGACAACGAGAAGGAAAGCGACGAAGAAAGCGATGACGACTCGGATAGCGAGGCGCATGATAGCTCTGATGATGCTGAGTCTTCCGACGAGGAGGAATTGAAGGCGAAGCATCCGACCATTGTGGGTATCAAGAAGTAAGGAGACGTAGTACACGGGATAGAAGTGGTTGAGGTATTTTGGTTATGAAGAGGACGGTTATTGGATGATGTGGCCTTGAGGGCCGTAAGGGACGGATTTGACCTAGACAAACGGATTGAGCGGATATTGGCAGCAATAGCATAGATCTACCTATACATGAAGTGTCAACGCATGGCTGTACTTATTCTGCGAAAATTGCGACCTCCTAGTACTCCAGGGCTCCACTAACCTCCAGCACTGAAGTAGGAGAGGTCAAACGGAGGGATACATACTAGCTTAGATGTTTGAAATAGAGTCGAACGATTATGTTTGGCTATGTGGTTGAATTATTCCGAAAGGCCGAGGTGAACTGCACGTCAGGCAGCATTGGTTCGGCACATATGCCGTAAGGTTTACACAATGACGTACCTGTGTAACTGCAACAAAAAGCCATCGCGAAAACTGCCAAACAGCTTGCGTTCGTGGGATCTTTGATCATCCCTTGGTAGACCAACCAAAAAGTATTAGCAGAGTGGCAGTGAAGGCAACCAGTACAGTAGTCCGACGACAGGAAGGAAGTGAAGTTAGGCTACCTGGCTGCTGTCAACGGCGCTTCGCAAACACTCCACAGCGCGTCACTCATCTCCTCTACCTCACCTGCACTCCTTGGGCGAGTTTTACGTTTGTGTTTTCATCCCACGTGCGCCCTAGCCCGAAAGTCGTTGATCGGCTTTGCCCTGCATTGTTCGCTCAGTTCGGTCCCACCCACATCCTCCTAGCAACGCCCGCATCCTCGCAGTCAACACCACGACTGTCAATTGCGAAAATGTCAACACACTTTCGCCCGCGCGCGACTACGCCTGGCCCGCCGAGCCCTACACGTCCATCAACGGCGCGCTCCACGATTCGCGCTATCTCGCCCTCGCCGCCACCGAGTTTGGATGAGGCTTCGCGACAAGATTCTGCGACTACTGGGTCACCGACTGTTGATCTCCACAGTGCATCAGAGAGTGCGAAGGTACGGCCAAAGAGCGATGGCTATCCGCGAGCGTACGTGCATGGTTCTGGTCATGAAGAGACGGACTTTGCCAATTACACCACAACACCAGGGAACAGTAACTTCGGAAGCTCTCCCGCAAACATCACTGCCAATGTCACCATCAAGAGAGGCGGCGGAATGATGACAAGGCGGTCGCCGGTAAAGCGCGGTTCGAGGTCAACAAGTCCGAAGAAACGCCCGTACAGTACGCCAACAGAGTTGTCTTCGCATCGCGAGTCGACATCGCATGACCAAGACGACTTGTCAGCCACCAACCCGCGAGATGCAGAGATCCAAGCTGGTGACTACATCGACAGCGACGCATACACCGACTGCCCAGACACACCCACCCCGATGACAAACTCCCAAAAACGCTCAGCCTATCTCCCGCTCGGAACTCCGACGCCTTTCCCAAAGTCCACGCGTTCTTCCAAGCCCAAATCCAGATCAAGCCTTCCTCGTGCCACCCCTACTACTACGCCCACAGCACCGACGCCAAAGCTCGAATTCTTTGAGTCCTTCGACGAGCAACCATCCTATGGCTCTGGGCTTTTCAACACGGACCATCCTCAGATGTACGTTGGGCCAGAAGACAAGCTCATGGCGTTCTACACCCAGACTGAACGTCGGAAGATGCGCGAACGGGCACTCGCAAAGACTGCGCAACCGGAGAGGACGGTGCTTGGTACCCAGACGGGCTACGCGACAACGTCAGATCACCCAGCAAACGACGCCTTGGTCATGCAGCAGCCACTGCGAGAGGAGGATATTCGTGCGCGCATGCATCTCGCCCCTCCACAACAGACCACGGAATCACCGCCTCGGAAGTCTATGTCAGATGCGGCTGGCAACGTAGCGCGACACGTCTCGCCATCCGAGGGCTCATATGTCTCCGGCGGAACAGTCACTAGCAAACGCTCTGTCTTTAGCACGCCTGGCAGAGACGAGCTTGAGAGGAAGAAGGCGATTGTGGAGACTGACGATGGACCATTTGCTAAAGCAGTGAGCATGGCAGATCTGAATGAGAGACGTAGGGTGGTCAGTGAGGAGGGAGTACAAGGTGTTCGAAGAAACGAGGATTTGGAAGCAGAGAGCATGCAGAAGAAAAAGAAGGAGGGTAGGACTTGTGGAATGGGGATTGGATGCAATGTGATGTAGAGATTGTCAAAAAGCTCGGAGGTGTTTGTTTAGACTTTGCATCGATGCGATGGAGGATGGTTCTGAACCGTAATATGAACGACAGAAATGAGTAACGATGAGGCTACTAGTTTGATGCTTAGCATAACTGGAGGCTGATAATTTTGTAAAGTAACAATGAAACTGAAACTTCTCTGGCGCATGTGACAGAAGTATATCGCGAACAGACAGTGAATGCGACCACTAGCGAGCGCAACCGCAATACACTTTCGTTTGCTTCTTCGACGTCTAACTCTTCACTCGTACAACCCACTTTAAGAATCGCGACACATTAGCAGCAAAACATCACGCAATGGATGCCGCGCCCGATCGAGTGCAAGCGCCGTACATGCTCGACAGCTTGACCGCCGACGCACAGCGAATATCAGCGAGCCTGCCACCGGACGGTTGGGATTCAAGTTCCTCCCTCATTGGCTTAAGGCGTGACGTCAGTGGAGTTTCGGTCGTGGTAAGAACAACCAGCCCTAGACGGGCAACTTGTGTGTATCATCCGCTAACCAAAGGCTCCGTGAAGCCGTCAATAGCTGCGCCGGGCGATGCCAACGATGCTGGGCCTGCGCGCGGTGGACTTTTCGCATGGCTCCGGCGATTAATCCGCACCGCTTGTCGTCGCTTCCGCAAACGCCACAAGAATGCGAAAGGCTCCTAACGAAAGGGCCGGTGGATGTTGAACACTCCTAGCGATCAAAGAATAAGACATTGGTATGTGTAGAATGCGTTTTCGAAAGTCGAGCTAATAGCGCTTCTTAGATGAAGAATCGGCTGCGATGTCGAGTGCCTGTAGGATATCCGTACCGAAGACGACAGTCATGTATGCGGGGAAGATGACCCAGAGACCACTGCGGAATCAGTTAGCTTTTCGTCCCTTGTAGTACGAGGTGCAAACAGATGCAGAATATTAGCTTACTTCATGACAAGGTAGAAGACCAAAAGCGTTGCCCAGTCGTTATGGCGAACGTTTGCGAAGCCAGAGAAATACTCATTAAAGTCTACCATCGTTAGCCTGTGTATTGCCCATGTGTCGCATGTGTACGAACAGTAGAGTACTGTCTTGCTAACTGTCATGACTGCTGCAGCGAACCCGATGATGAGCGCGCGGTTGCCAGTCTTGCCGCGTACCTTCCTGCCGCCAGAGAGGAACTTGCCCACGCCCTCGCTGAGCTGCAGGCCAGTACCTCCAGATGTAGGGACACTGTGGTTGTATATGATCATAGCGTAGAGGCCATATAGCACAAGCTCCACAGCGTTCAGCATGGCTTGCGCGCCGCCAAACCCATCATGGTTTTCCCATCCGGGCCATCCGTATACGTGATCGATCGAAGCGTAAATCTCATACGGCTTCCAGATGGGCCACTGAAGCGCGCCACCAGCCATGGTATGTGGGCGCAGAAGAACATATAGCGTGTCCCATAGCACAAGCGGGATCGAAATGGCAAGCCAAACTATCGTAAGATTGGATGCCGTGTGGCACCACGTCGGCTCGTCGATTTCGGATGGAGAGGGAGGGCTGATTTCGGCTTTGGCATTGGAGATTGCGCGCCTCGCAAGCGACTTTGGTGGCGGTGAGGTATTGAGGTCTGGGGAGGTGGGCGCTGGGGACGCGGTCGATGTTCGTGATCTTGGCGTCTTCTTGACGGGTGATGGCTCCGTGGCAGGGAAGTCGCCTTGCGGATGCGAGCGCGTAGACACCATGGCGATGAAGAGAGATCAAGACGGCGTGAAGAATCTGGGGTTCAGCAGCAACTGCGAGGAGCGCAACGGAGGGGAGAATGTAACGTGTCGCAATGATGCAAAGGATGCTAGGGAACTAGTGGAGAACGGCTTCTGCTTTAGCCGGGCGGGGCTGTACCTGAGACGGGAAGGCTCGACAAACAGAGTATAGTGCATCTCGCCCTGGCATGCACAGGCTGTAGCACGATGACAACACACTCATAGACAAACTAGAAATTTTTATAGCGCTCTGCTTTAATAGGTAGGGACCGACTACATACTCCAAGCTAAAACAACACATCCTCTAATCACTACTTACCTAGGCATTCCCCTTCGACGAAGCTAGGCTTGTGGAATCACCCCAATCAGCCAGAAAGCAACGCTTTATCCTTCACTACCTAGGTAGAGGCTGCTCAAGAATGCTTGATAGTCCACCTAACGGTTGACTGTCCGATGCCAATGTTGTCGCACTCCGTCTGCCCCTGAGAGGCAACGACGCCACCAGACTTTGTCTGTCAGCAGAGAACCTGGCGCTCGATCAGGAGAGCTAGAACGTACCTGCCACCTGTTGAGAGCAAGCTCGGTGATGTCCGCGATGTTAGAAGACCCAATCCAGGTTTCATAGATGTTCCGGGTACCCGCTTCGAAGACACAGGTACCGTAGTACAAGACGCCATGCGTGTCGGGAGTGTTGTTCCAAACGCCCCACCAGGTGTTCTGAGAGCGGGTGTCTGGATAATGGTCAGTTCATTGCTCAATCGGACACAACTACTCTAGAGTGATGAGTTCCGAGTCTTGATGGCTTACAGTCACGGATCACTGCACAGTCTGCGGTGTTGGCGAAAGGAGCAGGATGGGGGTCGAGAGTGGTGCCATCGCAGGTATCAGAGTCAGGGGAGTCACTGAGCAGAGCTCGCGTCGCCACCTCACCGGGGTTGACAGACATAGCTACTGCTGCACTGTTGAGATAGAGGGTCTTGCCATTGAAGTCGATCGGTACCCATTGAATCGCGGCATTAGCGGCAGAAAGGGGCTCCGGAGCTGGAGCTGGAGCCGCAAAGGCCAGAGGAAGTAA